GAGAGAGAGAGAGAGAGAGAGAGAGAGAGAGAGAGAGAGAGAGAGAGCAGGATGTAAAGAAACAAAGGTGGATGTGAGAGCTCAACGAGTTGTAAAGGTCTGAAGATGTGTCCGAGCAGAGAGAGCTGCAGTGAGTTTGTGGTGTTGGATCAATCTGATGTTGCTGTTTAATCAAAACAACAGAGCCAGTATTTTGCTCCTGTATTCATCTTTATAACCCGACACCTTTAAAAACATTCCACATGGTTTCCCTCCACTTTCTCTCCTTCTTCCTCTTCTTCCTCAACAGCTTTGAGCTGCTTTTCTTTTTTGCTTGTGCTCAAATATTTTAATACCAACCAATGTTGTCAGTCCACTCTCGTCTTTCTCTTGTGCTCCGTCTTATGTTTACTGCACACTCAATCTGCAGCGCTGCAGAGTTCTACAGACAGAACATGAAGATGATTAGTTATTGTTCCAGTAGTGTGGATAACAACGTAGTTATTTTCATCATTAAAGGAAACATTCATGATACGAAACATCAGAAAATCTAAAAAGTCAGCTGTCTCCGTTCTGTCCAACCAACAGTCCAAATCCCCCAAATATTGAATGTGTGATCATAAAAAGACAGAAAGCAGCTTCATCACGTTTTTAGAAACAAGTTGAGACTGTAACAGCAGGAGCTTTGCCTGCGTTCGCATACAGCGAATGATCACTGTCAGTGGTTTGTGTATAAAAGTGGAGAAAACAGAGAACAGTGCTCGTTGTGAGTATTGTTTTGTGTCCGACCGTCATTTCAAAAACCTAAAGTTTATTACGCTGTAAAGCCAAGAAAAGCAACAGCTTCTGGTATTTCAGAACCTTCATCCATTGAATTTTTTTGTGTCGACATACGACTGAAACCATTAAACCATAATCAAATAACTGCAGATGACGTTTCTGTTGCTAATAATTTCACATATCAGAAAAAAAGTAGGTTTTTCACATACTTCAAAAATCCAGTGTAATCAAAATAAAGAGCAATCTGATGTGTATGTAAGTGTATATCTATAGATCTATATCTCTGTAGCTCCATGTAGATTCCTCGGGCTGAAAAAATATAACTAACGATTAGTTGATTGATGGATCGCTACTTAAATCAATCAATGAATCAATAGTAAGAATAATCACTACGTGTACCTTCATTGAAGCATGATGTCCTGTTTTGGTGTTGTTTGGTGTTGCAGCTTTGTGCACTTATCAGGTTGAACATGTGTGAAAGTGATAAAGTGTGTGTGTGTGTGTGTGTGTGTGTGTGTGTGTGTGTGTGTGTGTGTGTGTCTGTGTTTTTATTGACAGAAAGTAGCATCCTATTTCCAATAAAAGGAAAAGTGTGTGTGTGTGTGTTTAACTTTCACTGCAGCAGCTTCCACAGTCACACACTCACCTCACAGATGCATTAAAATACCAGCTATCACACTGCAGGAAGGGACTGTTTACGTGTGTGTGTGTGTGTGTGTGTGTGTGTGTGTGTGTGCGTGTGTGTGTGCGTGTGTGTGTAGCACCATGCGTACTGACTGTTGATGTCCAGTTGAGTGTGTTTACAGTCAACAGTCGTGCATGGCGCCATGGTTGCACAACTCTCACATTCATCACACCTTAGAGGGGATGGACGGACACACACACACACACACACACACACACACACCACACACCACATGTGTATCAGGGCTGATTCCCATCCTAACAGCCAGATCAGATTAGAGGATTGCTTTGGATCAGGTTTCTCTGACAGGATTATACTTTATAATCTAGTTTAGATTGTTCGATAATCCCTAAATACTGTGTGTGTGTGTGTGTGTGTGTGTGTGTGCGCGCTCTGGTACTTTGTACTCTGTATCTGTGAGGAACATTTTAAGACTGTGACGGTGAGAACACTTTTGGAATGTGAGGACGTTTGGTGAAGGACGGGATTAGCAGTTGTGATGGTTCTTAAATGTTTTAGAGCTCAAAGCAGCAAAAACGTACTTTTTGTAAAACTCAACATCTCTTTCCAGAAATGTTGTCCTCATGTGGTTATGACATTATGTGTTGTCATTTGCTTTTACCGGATCACCGGTGATATAAAAGAGCTCTCTACGAGCGCTGTGAGAAGTCTATAGCTCAGCAGCCTCTTGTTAACAACATAGTTGTCAGATTATCATTGTTTTGGGGGCTTTTGCTGTCTTTTAATATGCTTATGTATTATAATGATCTGGGTCTGTCCACGGTGGACCGGTCTCTGATGGAGGATCTGGGTCTGTCCACGGTGGATCGGTCTCTGATGGAGGATCTGGGTCTGTCCACGGTGGATCGGTCTCTGATGGAGGATCTGGGTCTTTCCACGGTGGACCGGTCTCTGCTGGAGTCTGAGCTGAAGGAGGTTCTGGTGAACCTGCATGAGTTCATCTGGTTTCACCAGAATCCGACCCGGTTGGCTCTGATGACGAGCTTTAAGAATAACTCTATAGAAACAGACCATCTTCTCTCTGGTGGTCTCTTTACTGATGGAGGTCTGATAGAGGATCAGGACTACACTGAGACTGGTTCATATAGAGGATCAGGACTACACTGAGACTGGTTCATATAGAGGATCAGGACTACACTGAGACTGGTTCAGGTCCAGATAAAAGTTCCTCACAGTAACTAAAAATGAACACAAATATGAATAACTTTACTTGTTACTACAAACACCATCAATGAAGATAAAAAGATGAAAGTGAATATTAAGACAAAGGAAGATACTGAGTTTGAATCTGAAGAACAGATAAAATGTGTTTTACTGAACAGCTGATCACCTCTGATCGAAGTTGTTGTCTTATTATTCCTCATGTCAACATAATAATATATCATATTTATACCTGGCGTTGTGTCTCGGATGGTTCCCTCTGCACAGCACGCATCCCGCTGGCATGTCACTCTCTCTATTGGCGATTAAGCACAACACACTGATGTTAAAACCAGGAAGCTGCTTTTTCCCTCTATAAACTGGCATAGGTGGCCTTAAATCCCGGCAGTAATCCCGGAGTACGACAGCCAGGTTTCACAGCAACACCCCGCCCCTCGTAATAGTCCATTTAGCTTACTTTCTGTCCATCTGCCTCTGTTTTTCCTTTTGTCTCGCCAGCTCTATTTTCAGCTTTTTGTTCAGACGGATAACTAAACCGTTCGTTTCCAGCATGACATGTTTTCTGATCCGCGTTAGATTCTCAGTGTTTCTTTACTTGCTTCATCTTTAGGATGAGAAAGAGAGACAAAGACCATTGCATACAATAATATACACATAAAATGATGGGTTTGATGGTGAGAAGACATCATGTTGGACAATATGCCATGAATATATACATATA